CGTGAGGCAGAATAGAAACAGCAGAGTATAAATAGAAGAGGCAGGCACGTCCCCTGTGTCTCTGGCAGCTCGCTGCATGGCCTTTGAGGTACAAGAGAACAGGCTCCCGAAGGCCAGTGAGGTTCGCTCTTGCTTGCTTTGCTCTCTGTCTGTGTCCCTACTAGCGCGTGCTCGCGGTAGGTACCGATTACCTGCACAGGGAGCTCTGTCTGCACCCCATCCCACCCCCGTCTCTGGACGCCCTGCCCTTCTTCAAAAGATCTGGCTCCCTGCTCAGGGGTAGGTGAACTAAGTCAGACACACAGGCTTCAGCGATATTCGGGTGTTCTTAAGGGAGAGCCCAGAAGTATAAAGACGTTAGAGTAAAATAAAAGAGGGCTGTTTTGTTTTTAATACACATGTACACACAGGTGTAAAATATTTATTCACTCTAACTGCATGGAAAGAGATATAAAGTTGACGCTCATAGAAGAGGTTACCAGAACTAGGTTAAGAAGTGTTGAGAGCTGCTCGTTTCCCTAAGATGAATGCGGAGTGGGCTCTTCCGATTTTGAAAACAGCAGCCTGCGGCCTATCAGCCCTGGGCAGGACGTGCAATGTGGAGACGCAGCTGGGCCAGCCTGGCCCCAGGTGTGAACGGAGCTCAGCCTGCTGCCGCAGTGGCTTGCTGCCGCCCCTCCTGCTCCGCAGCTGAGGCCCATCCACATCTCCCACCTGTTTTCTTGCTCAGGTCTTTCCTGAGCTTCCTCCCAGCCTGGTCTCTGTTTGGGGCCTTGATAGTTGGGTCTTTGTTGGCTGGCATCTCCTGCCCAGAGCAGGAGCAGGATGGTGGGAGCAGTATTCCTTGCCACTGTCTTTCGGAGCATGGTTTAATTTGCTTAAAAGTTGCGCTGCTGAGTTTTCAATTAAGGCACCCCTGGGAGCTGTGACCTGACCCAAGGCTACAAGCCTAAGTTTTGTTTCTTGCAGGGCTGGTTTTGAACCCAGGGCCTCTGCTGCTGAGCTACACCTCAGCCCTTTTGATTGTCATCCAAGACATGATCCCTTTAGGTGCTTCAGCCTCCCAAGTGGCTGGGTCAAGAGCGTGCTGCCACATCATAGCCGACTGCCCACTCCCGGTCTTCCTGGGAGTAGGCTCTTGTTTTCCACCCTACCTTGAAGTGGGGTCTCCCAAACTGAGCTCCATCCTCCAGTCCCTGGAGGGGGTGTGTCCCTTGCCTGGCCCCTACCTGTGTGGCTCAGGGCCAGCTCGCTCTACAGTGATGCCACTGTCCCACTGCTTTTGGTCAGGCTGGATAGCCCCATGGGCTACCCCTGCCCAGTACCTGGCCTTTTGTTCCAGGGAGAGCCATAGACCCTGCACTTTCTACCTTACCATCCACTCTATCTCATCATAGTCTCCAGGCGAAAGAGCCCACTGTGTGCTGTCCTTCCATCCCCAAGGTTCCCCTGGCTGGATTGGTAGCCTCGACGTGGTGCCAGTCCCTGTCACCTATGCCCTGCTCTGGCTCCAGTGTGTACTGCAGGGGGGGGGACTCCTGCAGTCACTTCCTCTCCCCATGTCCCCGGCAAAGCCCACACTGCTTAGAGGTTCCCGAGACCCCCGGTCATCCTGTCTCCTAGGAGGACAGGTGTCCTGCCTGCTGACACAGCTGGATGTGTGGGTCTTTGTTGGCTGTACTCTTGGAGTGGGGTACTCTGGGGGTGAGCTTGATTGTGCAAAGTTTTCCTTGGCTTCAGAGGATTCACTTCCTTGTCTAGGATGTGGACTGGGATCTTCTTGTATTATGTTGTTATAGAGACTGGTGGCTATTCCTCTACTTCTTGGACACATTTTTGGATGGAAGGGACTTACTGCACGGTACCTCTGTGACAAAAGCGAAACCTCCTTTTGCAGTGCTCTTCCTGTGAAGAAGCTCAGCCACAGTTCCCGTAGACTGAGTGCTTTGCGCATCGGTGCTCGAGGAGCAGAGCCTGTGGGTCTTCCACCTCAGGGTCTATACCCTGCTGGCCTCTGCACCCCTCATCCTGGGAAGAGGAAACCCAAGACGCAGCCGTTGCTGGTCTGTCCCAGGCCTCCTGGCCCTGGTGTCTCTATGGAAACCAAAGGCAGGCCCTCCCCTCACCCTTGGGCCTCTGCTGTGTCCACACTTCTCTGAGCACTGTTGGTTTGTTCGTGTCCTTTGTCCCACACACCCCATGACTGTGTATGAGTATGGGAGCCAGGCCTCTTGTCCCCCTCCCCCGAGTTACAGCTCTCACGCCCAGCCTTCCTTGCACCCTTGACCTCTACACTTTCTTCTCCCCTGCAGAGCCAGCATGGAAGCCGCGCCTCCCATGCAGCAGGGCAGTGGGTATCAGCTGCTGGCGTGCCGAGAGTCTGAGCTTATTTTGAAGCATGCCCTTGCTGTCATGTGGCATCGGGGAAGTTGTCTCGCCTCTCAGGGCCCTAGCACCCTTATGTGCGGCTGTGTGGATGAAGTGCCCAGTCCCATGACACTGCTGAGCCCACAGGGGCACCGTGCACAGTGCCGGGCCCTTACGATTGTGCTCAGCAGAGGTTGGGAGGTTGTGGGTAACCGGAATCCCAGGCGTGCATACCCTGACGTCACACCGCACCCATGAAGATGTGTGTGTGTCTGGAACTACAAGAGCCCCGCTGCTGTGGTGTATCTTAGGAGCAAGCTCAGTGGACACCAGCACCTCAAGTCCACTTGTCTGTTTTCTGAAAAACATTGAAATCATTTTCCCCATCATACTATGGAAATTTTTTAAAGCACACAAAAAAGTAAAATGCACGATCTTGTCCTGACGTCAGTATTTTTGTGGGCATCCTCATTTTTTCTGGGTGGTACAAGCACTCCCCCCACACACTGGGGTAATGTGGATTTAGGAGCGTAAATAACGGCAGCGCACACTCATGGTGTAAGGGGAGCAGTGGCTTTCTGTGTGTGTCTCTTACTCTGTGGCCAGGAGCCGTCAAAGGTCGGGGACTCAGGGGGAGCCCTGCTCCAAGGACGCTAGGGCGCCTCGCATGTCCTCTTGCCTAGGCCCAGTGTTTACTTCAGGGTTCGCCTGTCGAAGCACTAAAGCTTCTAGAAACTTGCTGTGAGAATGGCAACACAAGGGGTCTCTAGAGCAGCGTCTAAGGTGAGCTGTGCACATGAGAAGGCTGTCTCAGCCTCTGTACCCTTGCGGTTGGACACCCGTGCACTTGCAGGTAGAGGACGAGGACTTGGCGTCGTGGGCCGCAGCGTGCCGGCACCCGGCTCTGTTATCACGCATATGCTAGTGGTGCCTACGTTGTTACCACAGAGGGAAACTGAGGCTGGGCGTACAGCGTTCTTTTTTTTAAACCACTGCATGTGATCGTCCACACGTGACATGAATGCCCTCAGAGTGCTCAGGGCATAAAATTCAAACACAGGCAGGTGTGGTGGTGCACGTACCCTGGAGGCTGAGACCAGAGGACAGCAAGTTCAAGCCCAGCCTGGGCTGGTTAGTGACTTAGCAAGACCCTGGGCCAGGGTGCAGCTGCATGAGGGCTCTGGGTTCAAACCTGGCCCCTGAAACATAAAAGTAAGTGTCGCCTCTGGTTGATGCTGTGCTGCAGAAGAGGCGGCCCCAAACCTTGTTTCCTTGCAGATTATCAGCTGTGCCACTGGAAAATTAGCTCCTGCGGGCGGCCTAGGAATCTTCACCGTAGGATTTCCTTCGGCTGATGAGCTATCTAGAACAGTTGAGCTGGACGCCATCTGCACCAAATTAGAGTCATGCTCGGCCTTGGCCCTCCCTCCCTGCTAGCTGTTGGAACCCTAGCGGGCGGGGTTTAGGTCCTGGGCTCTGGCTTGGTGAGTTCCAGATTGAGAGCCAGATTTCACGGCTCCTCCTTAGCTAGAAAATCATTCCAGCAGGTCGGATTTCTCTGGGCTCACACCCTAGAATGGTCTCTACATGCACTGGGTAAGATATTCAGAGTCCTGTTGCGTTCCAGGGGCAGTGTACCATTGGCAGCGCTGCTGCGTTTGACTCAGTTACACCCTCCGCTCCACATTCTGGCAATGCTGACTGTGGTCCTTAGCAAGCTCCCACCCTCGGTGGGATGGTTCTGCAGGGTCTTGGGACACTGTGTTCCTAAGAAGCTTCGTTTGGCCCCAGAGTGACAGGTTTCAGAACCTTTGCGCTTTGGCCCTAAATCCACCTAGGTTCCTCCTCCTGCCATAGGGTAAAACTAGTGCTCCCTCCCGGGTGTTTGCTGAACCACATCAGCTCCTTGCCATTGGTTTAAAATACAACAACTGCAAGACTGTTTAGCAGCCTAAGAAAAACCTTGTTTCTTTGTATAACTATTTTCTCCGGTGGAAAAGAAACAAAGACACAGGGTCCTGTGTTACGTAAGTTGCCTCTTGTGACCAGCCAATTGTGTATGTAATGAAACTGCACCATGTATGTGTGCACCCTATTGTGCCTGTGTACATGCATCCCTAGTCTTCCTGGGGGAAGCCTTGTTCTTTTGGCCTTGAGGATGGAGAGGGCTGCACCATTATACAATTATCTACATAGGCCAGCCAATTAGCAATTATGTCAGCAGTTGCTTTCCGCAGGCACTCAGCCCGTGTGACGAGGGTCCTGTGGCCTCTCTGGTCACTCAGGGCTGGTACACTGTGACCCCTCCCTCTCCAGTTTGGTTTGATGAGATTACATGAGACCAGAGCTCCTTCCAGTCCTGCGCCTGGCCCTCAGCACCCCTGACACATGCACACTTGTGCATGCAGACACACACAGGGGCACATGCGCAGTGCCAGGGCTTTACCCCTCTTCCCTCCCACAGACCCGGCGTAGGACGCGGGACCTGGCCTGCAGTGCCAGCTGCGTGGGCTGAGCGCAGCCGAGCCAGTGGCCCTCTGCACCCGTATGTAGACCCTACTTCAGGCCCCTGCTTGGGAGCCTTGGCAGCACGTGGGGCATCAGTGGCTCACGGTCCTCTCTGTTTCTTACAGTTCTCTGTGCTGAGAGAGTTGGCCAGATGACTAAGACATACAATGACATAGACGCTGTCACTCGGCTTCTTGAGGAGGTAAGTGTCCAGGGCTGCCAGAGAGCTGTCTGTCCTTGGCAGGCTGCGGTTTATGTTGCATCCTTCTCATCTGTTTCAGAACTCCCAGAGATCCAGCCCCTGCGGCACCCCTGAATGTCTTTATTTTTATGTATGTGGGCTTCTGTAGCTGTCCTTCAGTGTAGATACCTTACGTTTTTAAAGGAATGCATTGGTGCTACAGAATGCAGTGGCATTTAAGTAGATTACCTGGTTCAAGATTGGAGAGACCAAGATACATACTGACAGTATATGTTAAATATATCTAGAAATGGCAGGAAGACCCCTGTCTCCGGGGTATAGTTCAGCTTCCACTTGTATCAACCTAGTGGAATGGGAGCAGGGTCAGCATGGAATTGAGCAGAGCAGCCATGGCAAAGTTCTGTGGAAGGAAGGAGGCGAGTGCGAGGCAGCCACACGCACTGCAAGGGCTTGCCGTCAGCTGCGTCCCAGTGCTGTGCTGGTGTGGAGCGTCCAGAGGCAGGTGGCATGCCTGCCCAGCCCAGAGCTGTGGACGGTGCCAGCTCTTAGGCCCTTGTTCCCCTTGGGCTCCAGAGGACGTTGGGTCCAGTGGCTGTCCATGAACACACCTGGGATGAGAGCAGGGTCTGTGCAGATGTGGACACTACCATTAGTTACAGGCAGAGGCGGGGTAGAGTGTAACAGGCGGGCCATTCTCACCTCTGGGGCTGTGGTCCATTGGTTGTCAGCCAGCCAGGCCTTGTCATTAGGAATTGTGAGCCGGGCACTGCTGCCCGTGGGCATGTGCGCTGAGCCTTTGGTGCTGGCACAGGCTGGTGACCTCGGCCTGCCCTACTCCTGGGCACGGGCATGGACCACGCCCTCCGCGTGAGGACTGCAGCCTTTTCTGTAGACACTGGGCACCGGGAATTCGCTTCCCTCGGGCACTCTTCTGAGTACTGTCACATTATAAGAAGTAGCCTTGTAGTTTTGCAGAATAGCTGGATGGCTTCTTCACGTAGTTCTTTGTTACGCCTTGTTTGTTGTTAAAGGGTCAGTGGGTTCTTACCTCTATATTCTGTAAATATTACCACCGCGGTGTGCCTGCTCGGGTCAGTGTGGCGGTAGCGCTCCCCCCCGCCCGGATCCAGCCGATTCGGATTGGTCCCGTGGAAGCTGCACTGCCTGTTCCCCGTGCCCACAGCGTGCAGGGCGTTGGCACAGGTTGTGTGGCCATGCCCGTGGCTGCGCATGCATGCGGGGGCGAGGGGCTGCTTTCTGGCTGCCGCTCCAGGGCAGGAGCCTAGGCAGCAGCCGCTCCTCCTCCTCCTGTTTACGAGACCTGCTCCGCGGCCTCTCAGTCATGCTCGGAGTCCCGAAGCTGCCGAGTGAGTGCTCCAGCTCCGGCGTGGGTGGCAGCTGCCACTTCCGCGGTGGCGGCCGGGCACGCTAGGGCAGCAGGGCACAGGCGAGGAGCAGCCTGGGGCCCCGGTGGAGGCTGGGCTTTCTGCCCAACACGGTTCCGGGGAGCTGAGCGATGTGTTCGCAGTCCCCTACTGTTTAACCCCAGGGTCATTTCCTAGCTTTTCAATTCAGCACTTGTCGCGTGTTAGCTGGTTGTGAAAAAAAGCTTTTCTTTGCGTTCTTGTCCAGGAGAAACTCAGCCAGCCCATTGCCTAAGTGAAACAAGAGAATGTAACTTGTAAAGTGTTTTCATGTCTGCCATACAATTTTACTATAAGCTCCAGCAGAGAATGCCCCTTCTAATCCCTGTCAAAATGAGATTCCTGGGGAGAAGGTGAGGCTGCGCTGTGGGGACGGGCAGGAGCCCAGCCTGTGGCGGAGGTCAGACCCATAGCTGGGGCGCTGCCCACTGTGGGCCACGTGGGGGCCTCCCCAGCCGCCCCTCCCTTCAGGTGCTTGCCATGAACCTGGCCTGGCCTGGTGCAGCTGCGAGACTTCATGTGTTCAAAGTGGGTGAAGGTGTGTGCCATACTTGTGCTCCCCAAGCTCCGAAGCTAGGGTGTGGAGAAGCTGCACACAGAGATGATCAGATCTGAGCCAGCAAGCACCGACGATGCTGCTGGGCCCTGGGGCCACGTGAGGCCACGCTTCCTCAGAGGTGCAGACATGGCCTGCCCAGTCCTGCCATTACTTACGAGGTGGGGCAGAGAGCCCCTATGAGGTGCTGACTTCCAGCGGCCCTTGCTTGGGTGCTTCCTCACTGGCCAGGCGCCCAGCCCCAGCTCCTTGAGTGCTTTCCCTTAGGGACGACGTGAGCCCAGCTATTGAGTTTGAGAGATGGCAGGGTATGAGGTGAAGGCCTCTCGGGAAGAGCCCGTAGCTGTATAGGGCTGAGCGTCTTCCTGCCCCAAGTTTCTGAGTGGTGAGAGAATGAGGGGGGGTGGTATAAGTTTTATGGGCAGGAGCAGGGTGCTTAGAGCTCAGTGGATGTGAGACCTGATTCGGGCTGGTGCAGAGTACTTAGAGCTCGGTGGGTGTGAGGCCTGGCTTGGGCAGGTGCAGGGTGCTTAGAGCTCGGTGGATGTGAGGCCTGGCTTGGGCAGGTGCAGGGTGCTTAGAGTTCGGTGGATATGAGACCTGACTTGGGCAGGTGCAGGGTGCTTAGAGCTTAGTGGATGTGAGGCCTGGCTGGGCTGTAACACAGAGGTGACATGTTAGAGATTAGGGTCTGAGAGATCAGGGCGAGGCAGTCCATCCTATGAAGAGGAGCAGAAGTTCTGTGGAGCGGACCACCTGTCTGCACTTTGACTGGCGGGAAGGCTGGCGTTCAGTGGCACTCCAAGGTTGTGGGGTTGGCCGCCACCCACAGTAAGCACAGTGCACAGGAGGCGTGCGGGGGAGAAATAAAAGCTGCCGGTCACTATCTGACAGCCCAACTGGTCAGGAAGCAGGAGCATTTTCAAGGCCACCTGAGCATGCCCTCCTGACCTTACCCCAACAGATGTGGGGCTGGGCACACCGCTCGGAGCTGGTCTCTCCTGGTGAACTGGCGAACAGCAGAGAGCTTGCCCTGCATGCCTGAGCCCCGATTCAGTCCTAGCAGCAAAACAAAGAAAGGGCGGGGGTGGCACAGCCCTCCTGGAGATAGGCATGACTAACAGAAGGGTAAGCACAAAAGGGCACCTTTGTCAGGAGTGGTGCCCTTGGGGTTTTCAGTGGTGTCCTGGTCTTTGTCCTCTAAAACACCAGTTGCCAGACTGGGGAAATAGCTCCCTTCTGGCAAGCGTGAGGACCCGGGTTCAATCCCCAGTACTGCATGCTGTGCTGGCCCCTAAGCCAGGCGAGGTGACACATACCTGCAATGCTAGTGCTGGGGAGGCTGAGATAGGAGGATCACTATAAGTCTGAGCTGTGTAGCAAGACCCCATACCAAATAAATAAATACCTATATACGTACGCATGCATGCACACAACAGTTGCCATGACTGAAGTGCTTTCATACCCACCTGGGATTCCAGCCCTGTGGTGGACAGCAGCTCTGTAGTGGACCTGGTCCTGCACAGCAGGCAGAGCCTTTGCCATGCCACGTGGACAGGGCTTCTGGGCTTCTCTGGCTCCCCTGCCCTGAGGGGAATGGCCCTCCGTGGGGCTTTTCCAGAGCTTCCTGGCCAGCCTGCCAGGCTAACAGAGCCAGGTACCTCCCACCATTCTAAGGGGCAGCTTCTCCCGCCCCCTGTGCTACTTAATCCACTGGGTATGGGTATCCAGAGAGCATGGGAGACTGTGTCTCGCAAGTGTGTCATCCTGTGTATTAATTTGCCTTTCTAAAGATTTTGTTTTTAAAGACAGAGCCCCCCCATCAAAAAAAAAGATAAAGCCTCCTAAGTTTAAAAGACAAGACAAATAAAATGGACATAATTATATCTCAGAGTGACTTTGAATATTTTTGTTTAATATGTGGCAAAAATAGGAGCTCAGAACTCCAGGCTGCTGTGTGCTGGGTGGCCACCTTCCTCTGCCAGCTGTTGGCTTCATGGCAGGAGAGCTTAGATGTCTGCATTCATTCAACAAAGAGCCCCTCAGTGTTTGCACGTGCCGGACCCTGACAGGACAGCAGCCCACTGGGGTGGCACAGCGGCTCACAGGAGAGGAGCTGGGAGGCAGGCCGCATATCTAGGACAAGGCCTGTGGCTGCAGATTTCCCTTTGGTTGCTTGATGTCTGTGCTGCTGGTGTGTGTACTCGGGTGACGAGAACAAGGCTGTACAAGGGCTGGGAAATTAAAAATTACTACGGTGGAAGACTTTGCCCTACACCCCCTCCGAGCACCCCGCTCTGTCGCACCCCCAACCACCATCCTGGCCGCTCTGCCGGGCTCTGGAGTCCTCTCCTGAGTGTCTGCACAAGGTGTGCTTAAAAGCTCAGGAGCGCTGCTGCCAAGTGCCACCCAGCGGAGAGGCAGGCACCAGAAGCGCCAGTGTGTCCCCACCCACCTCAGTGCCCAGAGTCTGGCGCTGTGTGATGTCTGGCTCTTCCTAAAGTCAAAGTGACTTCGAAACGGAAGCGTTTTGAGTCAGCTCAGGACATGGAAGCAGCCAGGACGGTGCAGGAAGGACGCTCAGGAGAGGACATCAGAGCCACTGTAGCAAGCGGCCTGGACTATAGGGTGCGTGTGTGAAGCAAGGGGCAGGATTCATGGCCACGTGGCTTCTACTGTTAGCACTTTGTTTTAGTGCAAACTTACCAGAGGTTTCTCCCCTGGACAGGTGTTAGATGGGGAACTTCCTGCAAAGTCTGTCGTCATTTCTGGGGGCCCCTGTCTTGCGCACCCTTGACTCTGGGCCTGGGGCCCTCAGGGGTGCACAGTGTTTGACCCCGTTCTCTCTTCCCCTCTGCAGAAAGAGCGGGACCTGGAGCTGGCCGCACGCATTGGCCAGTCACTGCTGAAGAAGAACAAGACCCTCAGCGAGCGGAACGAGCTGCTGGAGGAGCAGGTGGAGCACGTCCGGGAGGAGGTGAGGGGCTGGGGGAGCAGGGGGAGTGTGTTTCGGAGGAGGCGAGGGGCTGGGAGCGTGAGAGCCACAGTGTGTGCCCGGCATGTCATCAGGCCGCACACTTGACGCGCATGCTAGGCCACCTTCTCGGAGGCACAGAGCACGCCCCGGGTGCTAGGACTGGGAGGGTGAAGAGTAGACCCCGCTGGAGTAGGCACGGGGAGCAGAGCAGAGCGGTGCCCGTCTTGTGCGGTGCTAATTCCACGGTCCCCCGCACTGAGTGTTGAGAGGGCAAAGGAAACGTTTCACAGCCTGAGACCTTAAGTGTAGACCAGCGTGACCCTAAACCACCCTGGCAGTAGGCGAGCGCCCTGCTTCCTTCCTGTGCTCGAGTCTCTTTTTGTCCAAAGTAACCTTTTCTTACTGAGACTGAGCTCAACTCTGAAACCTACTTTGCTCGAGTGGCACAGACCGCGTTCAGGTGTTGTCACACCGCCCGTGGCGAGCGCTCTGGGCCGTGCTGTCTGCACTGAGCACGCTGCCTTCTGACTGCACAGGTCTCCCAACTCCGCCATGAGCTGTCCATGAAGGATGAGCTGCTGCAGTTCTACACCAGCGCGGCAGAGGAGAGCGAGCCTGAGTCTGTCTGCTCTACCCCGTGAGTTCCGGAGGTGTCTGTGGCCATCCTGGTCAGTCGGGCAGCGTCCCGTCCTCCAGCGCTGCCAGTGGCCACCGAAGCTTGAGGCTGTGCCGTAGCCTGATGCTTTCCCCTTGCTGGTTTGGCACTCACTGGTCAGGCCAGCCAAGGTGCTGGGTGGATGTCAGGCACATGGGTGGGCCCGGATGTTGGAGGACAGCTGGGAGGTTCCATGTGAGTGCTTAGGGCAGCAGCGTGGGGACTCCTCAGGGAGAGTGCATCCCATGCACCCCAGGACTATGGGCTTTAAGCAAAGTCAGTTCCCCAGAGTCCTGAGGGAATGCCACCACAGAGGTGGGCAGAGGGTGGGAGGAGGCCTGTGGCTTCTGTGGACATGGAGCCATGCTGGTCCCAGTCCCTGGCTGTGGCAGACATCTCTCTTCTCCCAGGCTGAAGAGGAACGAGTCATCCTCCTCTGTGCAGAATTACTTCCACCTGGACTCTCTTCAGAAAAAGCTAAAGGACCTGGAGGAGGAAAATGTCGTTCTGCGGTCCGAGGTGAAGTGCTAGTGCCCACTGTGTGCCTTGCCCTGTGAGAGTAGCTGTGGGCACTGTGCTCCAAGCCACCCGTGTGGCTGCAGGACATCCTAGGCCAGCGCCCAGCTCCTGAGCAGGGTGCTTCGGGGCAGCCCTCAGGCTGCTGTGGGTCAGACTCCCTGCCAGCAGGTGGGAGAGCCAGGCCGGGTTTCTCAGGTGCCTCCCACAGCAGGTCAAGGCGCCTTAGGACCTGCGTGCTGCGTGTTTCCTCTGTGGGCCGGGCGGGGCCAGGCACTTCGCCCCTGTGCATCTTGGCGCCTCCACAAGGCTGAAAGCCAGGCGCTGTGTTGCTCGTTCAGCAAGGCAGGCAGCACTGGGCTACAGCTGTTTGCCGGTCGGGTCATGCAGTCAGCCAGGGAGCACCCAGGCTCCACGTCCCTGTCACTGCCCTGTCTGAGGTCTGCTTTGCCCTGTCAATGGGGTGGGACAGCCCTGAGCGTGCCACACGTGCAGAGAGCCCGTCTGAGCTGCCAGCTGCCCCAGGTGCTCTGTTCCCATGGCCTGCACCTCTCCAAGCTGGTCTCTTGGGGACAAAGCCCCGTGACTGAGGAGGGGGCCCAGCTTCACCCAGTAAGCCCAGAGGTCACTTCTGAGGGCACACAGGGGACAGCAGGGAGTATGCGGGTACTGACCAGGCCCTGTCCACAGGCCTGCCAGCTGAAGACTGAGACCATTACCTACGAGGAGAAGGAGCAGCAGCTGGTGAACGACTGTGTGAAGGAGCTCAGTACGTGTCCTCTCCCTCCCTGTGAGCTGCCACCACACCTGTGGCTTCTCTTGCAGGGCCTCTCTTGCCTGTGTGGCCCCCGTCTGCTGTGAGCTGGGTGCCAAGTGGGGGCTGTGTGGTAACCCGGCACCCTGCTGGGTGCTGTTTCATCCTAACGCCAGCTTTCTGTGAGGTGATAGGCCCTAGGGGCTCAGTGGGGCCAGACACTGAGCCGGGGGTGGGGAGGGGTGCGAGCGGAGGGCCCGTGCTCAGCCTGCAAATGTACTCTGCCCACTGTCTGCTGTGTGCACTCTCAAGACGCACTTGAGACGGGGTGGACAGACTCTGCGTTGAGCAGAACAGCGGGTCAGTGGGACAGCGGGCTCAGGAGTCTGACTGGAGACGCCCTTCCCCTGTACCGTGCTGGGGGCAGCAGTGGCTGGAGCAGCAGTGCTGTGCTGTGGCCACGCCCACCTATCTCAGTGCGTCCCAGCTCGCTCCCACGCTGGGCTGGGCTGGGCTGGGCTCCAGGGTCACCTGAAGGCCCTCTGCCCTGTCCAGGGAGAGCGGCACTATGCATCCACACTCGGCTCCCTCCCTCTCCCACAGGGAAGGGCTCCCCTGCGTACAGCACATGGGCCCATCTGTCTGGACAGTGGCCTGACCTGTCCCAACTGTTGTTGCTGTATGCAGGGGATGCCAACGTGCAGATTGCTAGCATCTCAGAGGAGCTGGCCAAGAAGACGGAGGATGCTGCGCGCCAGCAGGAGGAGATCACGCACCTGCTCTCGCAGATCGTGGATCTGCAGAAGAAAGCCAAAGCTGTAAGACTGAGTTCCTCTGTGGGACGGTGCACGCAGCCAAGACAGGAGGGGCCCGTAACGCGGAGGGCGGCTTCGTGCCAGGAGCACATGCTGGCCCTGGGGAGTGCTTAGGTTTGGTGATCCATCCTGCTTGCCCTGAGCAGCAGGGTCTTATGATGACCTCTGACCCCTAAGAATGATCTGTAGTTTCTAGACTATGGGCAAGGGTGCTGTCTGTGGCAGCCTAGGCCTCTGGCCTTGGGACCATGCCCAGGGATGTGCTCTGCAGGCTCCCTGTCCCCAGGAGTCAGGACAGAGGGGCAGAAGCCAGTGTAGTCTCCCAAGGGAGCAAGGCCTGTGCTGAGCACGTGAGGTGGGGATGCACTTGGGCAAGTGAGAAGCAGCAAAGCAGAAGAGAAAAGCGACTTGGAAGCAGCCTCTGCTCCAGAGGGGGTGGCTGTCGAGAGGGGGGTGGCCATGGCAAAGACCTCGCCCTCCTTAGGTGGGGGCCAGCTGCACCCCGCCACCTAGAGGACAAGGTGGCAGTAGCTTGGGGCAGAAAAGCAGGGGCAGCAGGCCTCCTTCAAGTGTACAGAGAGAAGGTGACTTGGCATTGCCCTTGCAGTGCACAGTGGAAAACGAGGAGCTTGCGCAGCACCTGGGGGCCGCGAAGGATGCTCAGCGGCAGCTCACGGCCGAGGTGAGCGTCTCCTGCCCCTTGGCCTTGGATGGGGGCCGGGCATTGGCCTCAGCGGCAGGCGCAAGTCCTGTGCACCAAGCAGCGCTCCGTGCTGTGCTCACGTGGCTCTGTGTCCCTTCCTGTCGCCAGCCAGTGCTCGTGCCGTGCCCACGAGGAAGCGCCCGTCAGGGTGCTGGTGGTTCTTCCTCACAGCTGCCCATGGCTGGCGCTTCTAGCGGTTCCTGTGCTCCCAGCCTATGCCAGTCCTCGAGGATCCTGCATTTTGGCTACAGGGCACTGGCTGCCGGGACTTGCTTGCACTGTCTGGGCTCTGGGGCTTGGGGGGCATGTGCATAGCACTGGGTGCCTTGCACCCTGACCCCTCGCCTCCCGGCCCACAGCTGCGCGAGCTGGAGGACAAGTATGCGGAGTGCATGGAGATGCTGCACGAGGCCCAGGAGGAGCTGAAGAACCTGCGCAACAGGACCGTGCCCGGCACCACGGCCCGGCGCTACCACTCGCTGGGCCTCTTCCCCATGGTGAGCAGCCCTGCTAGCCGCAGGAGTCACTCCTGCAGTCACGGGGGACCTGGACCCATGTCAGGCCATGTGCCCTGGTGGCTTTGGCTGCACAGAGCAGATGATCTTCACCTCCCACCCGGGCCTGCCCTCTCTTCTACCCCTGCCCTGCAAGAGAAACCTGCATTCTCCCCCGACCTGTCAGAGGCCTTGCAGGTCATTCTTCCCTGGCCTCGCAGTTCCGCCGGGCCTCTGTATGCTCAGTAACCATTCTGTTGGCAGCTTCCAGTGTCTGATGGAAAACCATGTCTTTCATACTGCTTCCTTGTGGTCTTATTTCATTAGCCCTGGCTGATTTGCTTGTGCTTGGGGAAGGGTGACGGAAAGGGGATTTGCTGAGAGGTTATTGTCTTTGTGAAGCTAGGCTGAGCCCTTCCGCCTGTCATTTCCCTATAACATTTGGATACAAGAAAATGAGCTACTTCAGTCTCCCTTCTGTCAGATTAATGCTCCTTGAAGATGGGGACCAGGTCGTTTAAGTTTCCTCTCGCCCTCTAATATATTGTACCAAGCACAGCACTCTGTATGTTAAAGACTTATAGGTGCTTAATAGATACGGCATTTAGATGGTTGGATGGATTATGGATAGATGGATGATGGACAGATGGGTGGAGTAGAAAAATGGATGATTGATAAAGGATGAGTGATGGGCAGGTGAGTGGCTGATGGATGGAGGGTGGACAATTGGATAGGTAGATGGATGATGGACAGATGGGTGATGGGTGGATAATGGATAGGTGGATAGTGGATGGATGGTAGATGGGTGGATGGATGGATGGGTAGATGGATGATGGATGGATGGATGGGTGGATGGATGGATGGATGGATGGATGGATAGGTGATGGGTGGATAATGGGTAGGTGGATAGTGGATGGATGGTAGATGGGTGGATGGATGGATGG